TTAATAACTCTTTGTGTACTGAGTACTAACTCCGAGTAGTTTGTTAGAATATAGATTGAAATAAATCTTATTTTGTTGTTTCCAGGAAACCAAAGGTTAATGAATATTGCTGTATTAGAAAAGTTTCTAGTATTGTTTATATATGGGCTAATTGATGTGTGTATTGCAAGAGCAGTTCTCAGTAAGACTTCGTGCTGTGTATTGTTTTTTGGTATAAAATTAGATGAGAATATTTTGTATAGTAGGTTAGTTAATGTTGTTGAACCTTCTGTTTTAAGTTTAGTTTTTGTCATTGAAACTATATAGAATTGTTTTTTTTCACAATATGTTAGCCAGTTATGTAGTTTTAATCTATTGTTTAATCCTTGTACATTATGTGTTGCAAAGTTGATTTTTTCAGAAGTATTTTCTTAATCATTTTTGTTATTTTCTATGCTGATTTCCATTGGTATATCAGTTTGGATGTGTTGTAAGTTATTGTTGTCAAAGATCTTCCAACTGGATTCCAGGAGGTCTAGTAGGTCAAAAATGAATAGAGGAAATGTTTGAAAAATAAAGTGTATGTGTAGAAGTTCTGTAACCCTGAGTACCTCTTCATGTTTTGTAATTGAAAAGTTGAGATACGCCAGTTCTTCTATTTGTTTAGTAGCTATTATGAATTGCTCTAGTATATTAGGCATTCTTTGAGGACCTTCAGCAGGATCGTTGTTAGCATTTTCAATTTGGATCCAATTTTCCAGGATCTTTTTGAAATAGTAGTGTTTTCTGAGGTCTTTAACTGCAATACTGAGTTGCCTAGGTCAAGTGATAGGAATAGTTAAATTAACCCTATCAACCTGTAAATACTCCCCTAGCAGATCTAGTAGATCAGTAGGGTTAACAGTCATGTAGCTAGATGGAAATGATACAGGTATCTGATATGTTGAAGGAATTTTATTAATGAATACTCGAGCAGTTGCTTTATTTTCTATTAGAAATATATATTTGTTTTCTAATAGTAGTTTGTTTGAATCATTTAGTAGACGACATCTTTGTATAATATAATCATTAGGTAATCTTGCAAAAGTATAGCTTTCTTTTAGGAGGTGTACATGCTCTTTGAAATCTTTATCATTTTTTGGGAGGAATAGAAATATTTCTCTCAGATGTGGTGTTAGCTCTTGTGAAGTACATGGAAGCTTTTGTTTTGGAGGTGGAAGGTCAAAATATGTATCTGGAATACGATATATGATATATATTTTTTGTAATTTCTCTTTGTATTTTGAGAGAGATTTTAGTTCTGAATAAGAAGTTATTGAAAAGAGATCCCTCAAGGATTCATCAAGTAAGAATGGTGAGTTTGGAAGTAGTAGATGCTTATTATCAAAATAATCTTCTGGTATATGAGTAAAGGTATAGGCTAATCTTAATACTTTTGCAATTATGCTTGCTTGTCTTTTATCCTTGCTAGAGAGTGTAAAAGGAATAGCTTTAAGAATTTCACTGTTTATGAGATTTGGAGCTGATGGTAGTGACAAAAGAAGGTGTTCTTTCTTAGCCTTAATTATGCTTAGTATATTTTCAAATTTAAGCTCTGTTTGAATTTTTGCAAAGTTAATAAAGTAGAGGATATATCGTGTTGCTTCATATGTATCTGATCGAATCAAATCTAAGTTTAAGAGAGCATCTAAGGAGAGCTTTGTTCGAAGCTTCATAAAGATTTGGTCACAATTCTTTTTGTTTGTAATACAAATATTATGCTATTTCTTATATGACTCTAAGGCATTATGTATAAGTGATTCAAACTCTAGTTGGTGTACTGGATAAGCTGCAGTAGTTCATGTGAAGAAGTGAAAGAAAGCTATATCCCGGTATTCAAATTTCTTTTTAATTGCATATAGGATATTAATATTTGTTGGTAGAATACTTAGCTTATATTTAATCAGTTCTTTTAGAGAGTCAAGTGTTGCGAGAGAACTGACTATTTTGTCTAGTAGCCATATTTGTGAATCATATGTATTAAGTTGTTTTTTTCTAATATCAGATAGGCTCTCTCTGAATTGTTGTACTCATACATTTCCAATATCAGTTCTATTGTAAGTTGTTGTTTGTCTTTGCAGACCATGAGAAGTGACTTGGCTGTATGAAGGATGAGGATTTTTAATATCTTCAATTGTATTGACTGAACTAGTTTCTGACATATGATTATTCTGTTCATTAAGTAAAGATCTACTTCCTATTTTAGTTAGTTGAGTTACTTGATCCTTGCTGGGTAAATCAGTCAACTCTGCATTGGGCGTGGGAAAATTGGTACTAGTTTCTTTTCTTTTTTTAGTTGTTGTTTGATGCAACTGATCCTGATTTGTATTTGTTGTGTTTTGGCTTGCAGGTGATATAGTAGTATCAGAATTTTCAGAGAGGGAGGCATTGCCACTTTGTTGCATTAAAATATCATCTTTGACTTGTATTTCAGTTTGTATACTATCAGCGCTATCTGATGAGATAGAATTCTTTCTTCGTTTCTTACTAGTTTGTGTTTGTCGTTATGACATGTTTGATGTGCTAGTGGTTTTGTGAGTAGGGTAGGCTAGCTTTTTGTTATTTTGGTTTGTTGCCAAACTAGTCAGCAACAAGTCTTTGACAAGTTCTAGTAGAGCAGAGATGTTGTCGTGCATTCTCTTAATATTGCCTAGTTGTAGTTGTAAATGAGCTTGTCTTTGTATAGAATAATAGTTACTTATTTATTATCTCTTTGTTGTATGTTCATTCAATATTTTGTTGTTTATTTATTTTATATATAAACTCAGGGTGCAGAAAAGAGTTTTTTATAAATTTTTAGAAACTGATATTAAAAAATTGAATTTAGAAAACAATTAGGAATTTATCCAAAAGCTAAACAAATAACAAATAATAATTATATAATTTATGTTATTGATAAACTATAGTGTTCAAAAAGGTTGAATAATTAATTAATTTCTGGAATACTTGATTAAAAATTCAATAATAAGTTTTTGATTTCAGAAAAATCAAAAACTTATTTAGTCAAATTTTTAATTAGATATTCTAGAAATAATATAATTAATTAATTTTTATATTATTTCTAATTACCTATATTATATTTAGATTAAAAAATTTTGTGTATTGCAGATCAAGTAGGAGAAAAAATCTCTTATATTAAATATACAAGAAAGTAATAGTATAACAATGCAATATGAGCCAACAGATTAAAACTACCACTAGATACTTTCAATTAGACAATTTCAACATCTTATCACTCTGAAAATAATAAAAATAAAGAAGAGGAATATTACAAAGAAGCAGAAGAACCAGAAGAAGTAGTAGAAGTAGAAGAAGCAGAAGCAGAAGAAAAATTTATTAATTTTGATTACAGATAATTTACCAATAATTACTTGTGAGGCTTGTGGTGAAAAGTCCTGTTTCACTCATGATGTTCCTTGGCATAGAGGATTGACCTGCCATCAATATTCCGAGCAATTGCAGACAAAAGATTATGCTGCCAATCGTGCCTATTATGAACGTCATACTAAACCATGTCCAAAATGTAAAATGTCTATTGAGAAAAATCATGGTTGTGATCACATGAGTTGCCGTTGTGGTTACGAATTTTGCTGGCTGTAAGAGTTCTTTACTCATTAATATGTTAAGAAAAATTTTATCTTTTTTTATTTTTAATCTCGATTTAAAAAAAAAAAATTGAAATTTAAAAATAGATGTCTTGGTGACTACGAGAATATTCGTGAAAAAGGTAATCATTATCACGAACCAACTTGTCAATATTACGCGGCCTATAATTCTGATGATGATGACGATGAAGAGTTCGATGAATATTTCGAAACTTCTGAAGACGAACTTGATGAAGATGATGATGGTATTGAAGATGAAGGTAATGAAGATGATGATAACGAAGATAATGATGACGAATACATGGAGATAAATTAAATTCTTTTTAGCTTTCGTGACACTAGATCTTTTAACTTTGTGATCGATATTTTTAAATGAATAAATTTATGCGCGTGCCATGTGAAACAATTAAATCTAAATACAAAGTTACAATATTTCTTTTAATGGACGTTCATATTTTTTCGACATTAAACGTTCATTACGCGAAGCTTTTTTTTTTTTTTTAAAAAAAAAAAAAAAAAAAGGTTAAAACGTTTATTACGCAATGCTTTTTAAAACGTTCATTATGTAAACGATATCTTTTTTTAATCTCTTAAAATATTCGATATGCAGACGAGTCTTTTAAAACGTTAGTTAGGCAAACGACTTCTTTTAAAGTTCATTAAGAAAATGACGTTTAAACGTTCGTTAAGCAACGGCATATTTTAAAAGTTCGTGTTATTAACTGTTAAGTAAACGATGTTTTAGAACGTTAATCTACGCGATATAGATTTATGTTCGAATAAATATTTAAGGGGTAGTCCGCAGTTAAATGGTGTTAATTTCATAGTAAAAATCGGCGCGAAAGTTTTTTGTAATGCTTAGTAAAAGTCGTATAGTAAAAGCATTAATGTCTCGGGATATGCTGATTTCATCACCGTTAGAACGAGAATACAACTTTAATTAGAAGCTCAAGAAAGGTTTACTTAGTATTAAAAAAAAAAAACTTTTATATGTAAGCAAGCCCCCATTCCTGCATTATAATTAAGTTCCGACTTTTTTTTACTATGAAATTTGCTATTTTTATACCCTTCAGAGCCGAACTACTTCTTAATACCTTTTTTTAATAAATAACGATAACGTTTATTTTTAATGTAATTAATTCGATATAATTTATTTAAAAGAACTTGTATGGCGTGATAAGTTCGACAAAAAAAAACTTTAATTTAGGATCCCAAGTCTGTAAATATCCGGATTTTCTACAATATGAATATTTGTTTATATAAGACCGACATAGTTTAAATTGATCAACAAGTATATTGTTACGCAGACCTGACTATTTAAACTTATTTTTTTGTAATATGGAGAAAATTATTTTTTCATTATCCGAAAAATTTTAAATGTCGAAAAATAATAATATTGCATTAAATCGCCTTAACTTACTACAAGATCATCTTTCACAAGGTTCAATCGATCTATCAAAAGAAAGGTCAAATGCGAGTTTCAATGTTGAACATATGAATTGGTTATTTTGTGGTTCGAAAGATGCTGCAAAAGCTTTAGTAAGTACAATTATTTTAACTTGTTAGATAATATGATTTCAAATATTTTTTTTTATAATTTATAATATCAAATTGTCAATAGTCTGATGCGTACCAAATGATACAACGTGACCCAGATCTTTATATTCCCGGTGGACATAGTTTTGATATGACTCAGTCTCAGCAACGTGAACTGTAATTCTTTTTTCTTATGTAATTTTTTATGTAATCATTATTTGATAATTTATAATTCAATTTTCATTAAGTGTTCAACGACAAGTCTTGAGGTATCAGAGAGTTCGCAAAACGTTAAAAGACCCATTATTATATGATTCCTTGGACCAAGCAATGTGGTACGTTATCTCATATCTATCCTTCTTTAATAACTTTGTTCGAACTGATTAGATAATTCTGAATAATTATAGCATTTATTCTGAAACTTTTTCAATGAAAAAATATGTTCATGACTCTTTATTTCGTCAATCGATTGAATTTTTTGGGACCAAAGAGCAACAAGGTGCATTTATATTTCGTTTTAAAAAACAATTCCTGTTAAAAGTTTAATATTGATTTATGAATATTTAAGATGAATGGATGGATGATGTTTTAAATTGGAGAATTATTGGTTGCTTTTCCATGGTAAGAATTTATAAAAAAATGATAATAGTTAAATTAATTTAATGAAATTGATTCTTTTTTTTTTTTACAATTTATTTTAGACTGAGTTGGGTCATAGGTTTGTATAAGAATTTTTTTTTTATATGGTAATTGATTCATTTTATCACTATTGAAAATAACTTATTATAATTTTAATAGTTCTTTTTTACGTGGTTTAGAAACTACTGCAACTTTTGATATAGTTCATGACGAATTTGTTATCAATTCACCAACTTTAACGGCTACAAAATGGTATTACATATATTTTAAAATCAAATCTTTATAATAACTTTTAATAAATTGTTTCTGCTAATTAGGTGGATAGGAATGGCAGGCCAGGTATTTAAAATTTTAATATTGCAAAAAAAAAACTTCTGATGTGTGCCCCCTTCTTTATAGAAATTTATTATGACATTTAGTTTGCCGAAATTGTTGTGAAATTATTTGAATTCTTTTACCAAATACATTATATATCTCTTTGTAGAGTTTAGTAAAAATATATTAATATCGGATTATTACCTTTTTCAAAAAATAATTTAGGCACACATACAGTATGAAATCCGATCATTCATTCATTTAATCTATTTATTTTATTTCAGACAGCTACACATACTATAGCAATATGTAAAACTATAATCGATTCAAAAAGTTACGGTATTGATTGGTTTATAGTTCCATTAAGAGACCGTAAAACCGGTCATTTGCTTCCTGGAGTTACGGCTGGAGATAATGGAGCAAAATATGGTCGACATGGTTTAGATAATGGGTGGATACAATTTTCAAATGTTCGCATTCCACGAAAAAATATGTTAATGAGATGGTCAAAAGTAACTGAAGATGGAAAATATATTCCACCACAAAATCCTGCAATTGTTTATACAAATTTAATTGGAGAACGATTAAATATTTTTAATGGAACTCAAAATTTTTTGGGAAAACCATTGACTATTGTTTGTAGATATAGTTGTGTTAGACGTCAAGGTATTAATGATGAACAAATAATGGATTATCAAACGCATTATATTAGACTTGTTCCTTGTGTTGCTAGTATTTATGTTATTAATATGGTAAATAGGTAAGGTAGTCTTTATTTTATCTTTAAACAATATATATATTTTTTTCTCTGAACATTAATCAATAAATTAAAGTTTTATTATTAATTTTTAAATAGAAATGTCAGAGCTCGATGGATAGAATTAACAAAACTAATAAAAACGAATCAATCGGAATATTTAAAAAATGCTACAGATATGCATGCATTATCTTCAGGCCTAAAAGGAACTATAACATGGTGGGGTAGTGAAGTATTTGAAAGATGTAGAAGAGCTCTAGGTGGCCACGCTTATTCAGCTTATAATGCTATAGGACCTTCTATTGGAGATTGGGGAGTTGCTACTACTGGTAATTCGAATTGCTATTGTTAAGTTGAATTTATTTGTTTATGTTTTTTTTGTTCATCTTTTTTTTTTTTGAATTAGGTGGTGGTGACAATTTTGTGCTCTTACAACAAACTGCTGTAAGAAAAAAATACATGATTATTCGTAATACTTTTTTTAAAAATTTATTGTAACAATATCTAATTTTACTTAATTATTTATATAGAAATATTTGATAAGTTCATATGAAAAAATGATTCAAGGACAACGACTTTCTGGATCCGTTGAATATTTTAACAATTTTCAACGAATTTCAAAAGTCTTTAAGAGTGATTTATCAAATGAAAAGCAATTATTTGATATTCAATACAATTTAGATATGTATACTTGGCTAGTTAAACAAAAGGTTCTTAATCTTTTTATTATTTTGAAATTAAATATTAATTTTTCTGACAATAATCAAATAAAAATATTAAATTGAAAACATTTAGTTACAATCCCTTTTTGCGATATTGACTCAATCTCAAGAAGATCGATCTATAACATGGAATGATAATCAAATCTTATTAATACGTCTTTCGGAACTTCACACATTCAGATATTGTCTTTCGGAATATATTAAATGCCTCTCTTATTACCAAAATTCCATTATAGAATTTCAAAATCTATGTCCAATTCTTACAAAATTAGGACAATTATGGTCAATTCATTTAATATACGAATCATTGAAAGAATTACAGTTCACGTTGCTGAGATTGAGTCATATCACAACTATGTCCACCAGGAATGTAAAGATCTGGGTCGCGTTGTACCATTTGGTAAGCATCAGACTATTGACAATATGATAAAATTGTAAATATTTGAAATCTTATTATTATTTACCATAGTACTTACTAAAGCTTTTGCGGCATCTTTCGAACCACAAAATAACCAATTCATATGTTCAACATTAAAACTCGCATTTGATCTTTCTTTTAATAGATCTATTGAACCTTGTGAAAGGTGACCTTGTAATAAGTTAAGGCGATTTAGTGCAATATTATTATTTTTCGACATTTTTAAATTTTTCGGATAATAAAAAAATAATATCTAATTTACAAAAATTAGGGTCCGGAATTTGTTTAATTGGCCGTATATTTGTCACGATGTTACACAAATCTGATGATAATGTCAGGGACCATAAGCTGACTTTCGTATGATTGGCTGATAAATCAATTGCCCCGGGTAACTTATTTATACAGTTTAAAGTACTTTTTGAGAATGTAACGTTTCACTAATAAAAATCACTTTGAACAAACGCTTATATGTACTTATTTTCAAAATAATCACAACAAAATATACAACCGCCTATTTTGCTTTACCACGTTAGATTAATAAACTTTATCATTAACTATTTACTTTAGACAGGTATAAGCTTTTTAACAATAGAAGATCTGGGTTTAGTGTTTTAGTTTATTTAGTTCCTATAATGTGTTTGGGTCTGTTAACGTAATGTTACAGTGTAAAAGTGACGATACCAGAAAATAGGGTCGGAACTGCGCCGAAAACCCAAAGTGGCGATGCTAAGTCTATGACGTGTCGATCCGAACAACATCCAAGAATTCATCTACGTGTAGTCCCGATT